TCTTTGGAATAAAGTCTGAAAGTTTCTCTCACATTCCCAACATCTCCTTTATCTCACTTATAGAGATAACCTCCTCCTCCTCCGTGCCATCTATTTCCTGCAAAACCTCCGTGTGCTGCTGCGTCTGTAGCTCCTTTAGCTCCTGCGTTGTCAGTTCCTCGGAGTGCTCCTCGATGAGCTCATTGATGTCACCTTCCTTTATATCCGCGCTCGCTGCCTCACCATGTCTGACAACGGAGTGAATGCCAGTCCTCTTTTTAAAATTTTGGAACAAGCCCCTACTGGCTTTAAACGGCTTGCCTGATGCCTCGTCCATTGAAGTGCCTGGGGTCTGCTGCAGCAAATCAGCGTAAATAGCTCGGGCCTTCTCGCAGATTATAGCCTTCGTCATGGTATCTCCTGCGAGCTGCTTCTCCGTTAACCACACCATTAGCAGCTTCTCCATATTTTCATGGATAGATGTCCGCTGTTTAGAAATTATTTTAACGCCCTTGGCTGGAGTTGTAGCCTGTATCGACTCCTTCTGCTTCAGTATGGTGCAGATCGTAGAAGTGCTACGCTCGTACTGCTTCGCCAAGTTGATTACACGCACACCTTGGTCATGTTTTTCGATAATTTCTTTCTTTAATTCAATGCACATCATCCGCTTCTTCTTCTCAGCACTGTCCTTCGCACTTACTTTCTTCAGATCCATGGTTGAAAAAATGAAGTTTTGCAAAATAACTGCAAGCACAAATGCGAGCACAACACTGATGCTTCAACTAAGAGCTAACCGCTTAAAGTGAATGAGTGAGACACGTGATGCTGGGCTGATGTTGTGGGGTTCACTGTGACGTTTGCTGCGCCAACTAGCGGTGGGGTATCTGAAGCTGGCTCGTAACCCGAATTTTAGCTCGAAACTCAAAGCAAAAAATCGGCCGAGAGACAGCACTCATAAGTCGAGGCCCCACTGTATTTACAGAAGCGTCTATTTCTGATACGGGCTCTAGGTGGCAGTGTTGCTGTATTAGTTTCTGGGACCAAACTGCCACTCAATCCAGTCTCTAAGGGCTCCCTGGGGGTATTCAGAATCCTTGTTTCCCTGCCTAGTCCGAGGCTAGGTGCGGCTGCGCAGCCAGGAGGAGCCCGGTCCGCAGGAGAAAAATGGCTGTTCAGGGTTAGAGGGACTGGAATGTCCTAGAGCTGGCTTCCTGGTCACCTCTCCCTATTTTGCTCCCCAGCTTCCATAAAACCACCTTCCCCTGCATTGCAGCCTCGGTTAGTGTTTGTAATCGAAAGATCCTATGTACTGGGTTCAGCGAGCAAAAGCAAGGAAAATATAAAGACAGAGCAACTGTGCCACTGCGGCCACCGCCCCCCCCCCCCCCCCCCCACACACACACACTGCATGGCTGGGGCACAGTCGCCCATGGCTGTGTACCCAGATCTAGAGTCCCCCGCTGCCAGCAGCTCTGTGGACCCCCTTGCACATTCGAGTGTTACACATGTCCCCAAGGGATGCGGACTTGGTGCAGCGCAGTTTCCTGCCGACCCTTTTACAGGGGTCGCCTAAATACATCCTGCATATCACATTACGATTCATAACAGTAGCAAAATTACAGTTATGAAGTAGCAATGAAAATAATTTTATGGTTGGGGGTCACCACAAAATGAGGAACTGTATTAAAGGGTCGCGGCATTAGGAAGGTTGAGAACCACTGCCTAGCCCAGTGATGGCGAACCTTTTGAGCTCGGCATGTCAGCATTTTGAAAAACCCTAACTTAACTCTGGTGCCGTGTCACATATAGAATTTTTTTTGATATTTGCAACCATAGTAAAACAAAGACTTATATTTTTGATATTTATTTAATATATTTAAATGCCATTTAACAAAGAAAAATCAACCAAAAAAATGTCATAGGTTCACCATCACTGGGCCCTAGCCAGTGCTTCTCAATCTTCTGGCCCTTTAAATACAGTTCCTCATGTTGTGACCCAACCATAAAATTATTTTCGTTGCTACTTCATAACTGTAATGTTGCTACTGTTATGAATCATAATATAAATATCTGATATGCAGGATGGTCTTAGGCGACCCCTGTGAAAGGGTCGTTCGACCGCCAAAGGGGTCGCGACCCACAGGTTGAGAACCACTGGCCTAGACCCTGTTGCTTGCTTCTCTCTCTCCAGCCCAGTTCCCCATTCCTCGTCCTTTCCAGCCATGGATTGTCCCACCAGCTGTGTTTAGTTTGCCAATTATGGGTGGATGTTATTCAATTCAGCTGTTTCTTCTATCTGCTCCGTGAGAAGGCGCAGGACATGTCCGCCTACTTGGCCGCCATTTTGTCTCCCTCTGGACAAACTCCTTAGGAGCCTGCTGCCGGGGAGGCTGGAGTCTCGGCTTTCCTGGGTTCGCAGCTGAGGCAGCAGGTCCCTGGTTGGTGTGGCTGTAGGCTCCCGGGTGGCATCCGAGGTCTCCCCAGGTGGAGGTGAGGCTGCTCTCCCCTTCAAGATGGCACGGTCTCTGGGACACCCTGAGAGATTGCAGCAGTAGTAGAATCTGCCCGGCTAGGGGAGCCTGATCCACCAGCCCCCAACAGTCCTGTGGAATATAACTGTCCCTTACTCACACACACGCCCCACACTCCCCTTTCACTCTCTCTCTCACTCATACTCTTCCCTCACTGCCATCCTGTTGGCTGCCATCTTCCATTCCCTTGAAGCAGTTTTGAACCATCCTTTTTTAAAAAATATATATTTTTATTGACTTCAGAGAGGCAGGGAGAGGGAGAGATAGAAATATCAATGATGATAAAGAATTATTGTCTGCCTCCTGCACACCCCCTACTAGAGACCGAGCCCACAACCTGGGCATGTGCCCTTGACCAGAATCGAACCTGGGACCCTTCAGTCCGCAGGCCGACGCTCTATCCTCTCAGCCAAAGCAGCTAGGGCTGAACCATCATTTTTAACCTTATTTTCATGGTAAAATGCCTCCTTAGTTCCAAACAATTAATTTGGATGAAACTCACTTGTAAGTTGGAGATGGGCTGCATGCTTTCGGGTATAAATATCTATTTGGTTCTACCGATGAGATTTCCAGGAAATGTAAAGTCCTTCAGAGAGCAGGAGAGATCATTTTTGCTTATACATGAGGAGCACTTCTATTACTATGTCACTGATCATGGGATGAGATGAGTTTCAAATAAAGAAAATAGAGCATACAGAAAGAAAATCTAAGCAGAATAAAATCTGGAAATGTATTTTTTGTGACCATCAAAACACT